GACAGGTGTACCTAATAAAGTGGCCGGTGAGTGTATATGACAGGTCTGGACCACTCGTGAATTTTGTTCGTATCTGAAAAAAATCGTAGAATACAAATACATTGGTGAATGCCACAAATTCTCCTAAATCACTCGTACGCACAACTTAAGAACAAATCTGTGCGTACGAACGGTTCTTGCATGAGGCCCATTGTTACTGGAGTTCACCAGTCTGATTGAGGCTGGAACAAAAGACAGTTTCAGTCTGTTGGTCTTACACCGTGGCAGCCGGTCTCCTCCCTGATGGCAACATATCATATTCAGAGAATAGTGCGTGTTTATGGTCAGTGGATATGATTTTTGCTGTTCTTGTTACTGCTTGTTCACACWTGGTCTCTATGGGTTCATAATCTTTTAAGCCAATTATTTGCATGYCTGTTTTATGAATATGGACAAGCTTGTTACTGAGTTGACTGAAAATTGACCTACAATGGCTAAAAATTGTTGATTATTTCATGCTTGGCTGTCAGATTAAGAGAGTTCTAGCACCACAAGGCTCTGCTGAAGCAAAMTTTTTCTCTGAAAACACACCTCTTAATTTGAGTTCACTTACARTGTCACATTGCACATTCATATTTGGCTTTGCATGAGTGTTGAAGTTTTGGTTATTGTCTGTAAAACTGCACCATGAGTGAAGGGTCTGAGGCWTGATGTGTGGGAGGGAGAGAAAGGCATGGAAAAAGTAAAACCCCAAGTGCCAGTGCAGCGCATTGTTGTTATTGACACATGGTGGATGTTCATGTGTCACATATTAACAGGTTAGAATTAGCAGTAGCAAAACTAAGTAGTTTGTGTTGCATCTTATTGAAGCTAACATTTTGGTCAGCAGTGATAACCACTGGTTTTAGGAATATGAAATGTCAGATTGTTGAAATTGATTTGRTACAATAAATAAGATAAATCAGTTTATTTGTGTAACAGCACTGWCATATTCCCAGTGTTTTAAAATGTGTCTAATGTCCAGTTTAGAGTTGTGTTAAGTGGAATTCTTGCAAATTAAAACTAGGTAGGTCAGAATATAACCAATTGTAACAGAACAAAGCAATCAGTTTCTGAGCTGTCAACATTGGTTTATCGTCTGCTTCTCTGATATTAGAGCTACAAACTGGCAGTTGAACTTAAACCAGATCAGTCCCAGGCCTGGATGAATATGGGAGGGATTCAGCACATCAAGGTAGGTATCACTCTTAGAAATTAATAAAACTGGATTCTAGAATAGCCACATATTACAGAGTACACATTACATAGTAATGTTTTTGTTTTGGTTTGTTTTTTGTTTAAACAATGTTTATTAAAGTTTGCATATAGAATGTTCCTTTAAAGGTACAGTGTGTAGGATTTTGTCAAGTCTTTTAGCCGAAATTGAGATAATCACTAATGACAATAATAA